CTGTAACTCCAATAATTATTTCAGAGTTATTTGTAGGCAGAGCAATAGGGATAGTATTTGAAAGTGCTGCAGTGGAGGCAAAGCATGTCAGGCACAAACTGAATATATCCAAGATATTCACAATTCCACTAAATGTCTGTTCTAGCACTAAATGCATCAGGATGGTGTTCCCAGGTGTTCACTGGACCAAACACTGTCTGGACAGTGAACAGCAGAAATGAGAATGACTGGTTCAGTCCATTTCCCAGAATATGTGCTTAAATACTCCTGGTTGTATATGCCCATCTCAAGGTTTCCTGTACCATAGTAGGCACTCAAGAGCTTGTGTTACAATCTCTCACTCCCACTGCCAGATTATTCCTGGCTTCCTGGAAATGCTGGGTTCAAAGCCCACCTCTCCTGCTAATACCCACACACCCCCTTGCCTTATTTAGAACTGAATGTGGCACTAGGGGAACAATTTCTCTTGCCTCCCTCTTCACATGTTTTCTGAACTACATCCAAGTGGAAGTGATACATTGATACATAACACCGGGTGAGGCTGGAGGCTTCTGTCAGTTATTTTGGTTTGGATGTGTCATTAATTAATGAGTTGAGCCTGCTCAAAAAAGTAACAGTAAATGTTTTCATCCGCTGTCAGTGTGGCATGTCATTATATAACCTGACAATGTTTTTAAAAAAAAAAAAAAGTTGGAAAATATCTAAAGCATTTTGCTCCATCATAGTTTTAGCATTTATCTTTCTCTAAGACCTGAAGTGGTAAATGACCTGAGTGGCTCCACAGGCACATCCCCACTGTTCCAGCAGTGCAGGGCTACAAGACAGGGAGCTCTTGGCTCATGCAAAGGTCACTTGGATTTTGTCTTCTAAAGGTCCCTCTCTCTGGGCTGGAGGAGCTGGAAGAGAGTTGGTCACCAAAGTTCAGCATCAAGTCCCTTGGGGGTCACTTGATGCTGAATTTTGCAGCACTGCCTGCTCCCCGTTGTCACCTACTACAGTCCCTGTATTGTAGTTGAAAACCAGAAACAGGAAAAGCAGGTCCTTATCTGCAGAGCAAAAGGGACAGTTCTCCCCTTGCCACCCCCTTGGTGACAGCAGAAAGCGTGTCTTACATTTAGTCAAAAGCTTTGCTTACAGTCAGAAATCTGAATTAGTGATGCTGTTGTGACCAAAAGTACACCTGAAAGGCAGTTGGCTGTTCAGCAGTTGGCCTTTAGGTGTGGAAATGTTACAAGTAAGATAGAAACAGACAGTGCTGGCTTTTAACATGTAGAGATATCTGAAGTTGATTTCTGTGGAAGATTGATTGGATCTGTAAGGGACCATGCTCCTTTTTCTTCATCATTAACACAGAAGAAACTACTTTCTCAGTGAACCCAAGTGTCAAACAAGTCCTTGGAGCTTGGCTCCAGAACTTAGCATTGCAGTGGCTTTAGAGCAGGAGGATTTGGGAGTATTACCTTAAGAGCCCAAACTTATTCCTAAACAGCTCCCTGAGTTTCCCTGGAGGGTTGTCAGAGGAAAGGGTCCAGCTGCTGCTGCCAAGGATGAAGTGGTTCGGCAGGATGAAGTACTGGTGCCAAGCTCTTTGCCAGAGCAGAAGTGAGACACTGCTGCTTTGGGCTGCCGTGTGCCTTGATGAGATTGTTGATCCTTACCAACAATAGTAGTGCTGATTAAAATGCCAATACTTGCTCCAACAAGTTCCCTTTCTCTCTTTTCCTTTTAGTTTCCCCAGAAAATGGCCATTTCCTTGCATTAAAATCTTTCCTTTAAGCCATGGTTACATTTGCTCTTGCCCTGGTTTTGCACACTGTGCTTATAAACTAGCAGATAATTTAGAGTTGCTTTTCATGTAGGAATTATATTCGCCCCTGGTATGTTTAGAGTAGTTTTCAGCCTTGCCTTACAGGTGTTTGTGTTCATCCCTTATCACTGTACCATCAGTGGTAGGTAGGATGCTTTAAAAATCTGAGCTTCAGGAGTGAGTCAGGCTCTTCATGCTATTCATCTATTTTCTGCTGTTTTAGCCATAGATCTTAAGCACATTGTTCAAATGCAGTGCTGCCTTGTGGAGGCATTTGATTCCTTATTTTATTGTTTAGCACATTAGTACTTCAGAGGCTCACTTAGGTCCATCTGTCAGGCACCATAAAAGCACAGGACATTAAGGTGTAGGGTTTACACCTTGTGTCTCCCCAGTGCACACCCAAGAGTTTGATTTCAGGATGAAATGTTGCATTTGCTTTGAATCTGCTTGGTAGATCTTTTTCTGTTAATATCATTGTGACCAGCCATGGGTTTGCTGTACTGTGAACTGTGTGTGAAAGGCTACAGAAAGGCATTGCCATTGCATTGTTAAAGGAAAAGTAGATTTTGACAGCTTTCAGATTTTTTTGATGCCTCCTCCAAATTCAGAGTTTTTTTTTTTTTTTTTTTTTTTTTTTTCTAATAAAGTTGGATGTGGAGATTGTCTTTATTTTTTTTTTTTCTTTTTTTTTTTTTTTNTTTTTTTTTTTTCTTTTTTTTTTTTTTTTCTTGCTTGTAGTTGTGGTTTGTGATTTTTCTGGCCAGGGAGAGTTTAAAATCTGTATTAAGTAGAACTGAAATTTTGCCTGTGCTGTTCCACATGTTAATTCCAATACATGAGCTTGTAAAGGGGGTGTTGCCCAGTTCATCCCTTTGCTGTCTTGCAGCAAAGGGAGAAATTAGACTTTTTCATCAATGTACAAATTAGGTAAGAGCTCAAATAGGTGTTAAGAGAAGCATTAATCAGCTTCACATGCAATGTTATATTTTATATGTTTGTGATTTATACCTGCGTGAGTGTTTAAATTAAGTCTATGGATAAATTGATGATGACTATAAAATTCAGCAAGAATTATAGACTATGGCTGCAGACAAGGCAACAAACTTGGTTTAAATTTGTTAGAGAGAATATGGTAAAATTCCACCTGAGCAGACTGAAGTCATTGCAGGATTTTAGTCTTTGAAGCTGCTGAAGGATTCATTAGACCACTGCAGAAGGTAGGAAATGTCATTGAACAGAGCAACAAAGGAAAAATCCAGGAATTTCATATTGGAAAACTTAAAAAAAATTTTTCAAAGCAACAATTTGAGTTTCATTACCTCATCAAGATATATGCAAGTACATTCTTCACAGTTTGTTGTTTTTTGGGTTTTGTGGGGGTTTTTTTTAGTAAGTAATAATATTAAATTTCAGAAAACTGATGCTTCCAGCAAATTAGGAGAGGAGTCACAGACAATGATAAAATATTCATACATGAGTTCTGTGATTCTTTTCACTTGTTCTTGGAAAAAAGCTGTCAACTTTTCCGTGAGAGAAGGAGACTTACGTGAAACTGAGGTAATTGTGTCTTTGACCAATGGACTGGATTTCTCAATCTGGGCTTCTGAATTGCAAAAGTTTAATTCCTTTTGAAGCCTAGTTAGCAAATATCTCTGGAGAATAAAACAGTATGAAATGGAGCCCTGGTTTTATTACAGAGACTGCTGCAAGGGTGACTTTATTTCATGTAATTGCTTGGGGACCTCCGTCTGATCTCTTCACTTGTAGCTGATACTGCAGGCTTTAATTGCGTAAGGCTGCTCTTGAAGTGGAAATAGTTTGCATTGGGAGATTCATTTCTGAATATCTTGGCCTTTGTCTCAGATAAAAATTAATTTTGCACCTCTGCATTCAGCACTGCTGACAATGGCACTTGCTGCTGCCCCTTCAGCCTGGAATTTTCAGCACCTCCAGGATAAACTCCCCTTTCCAGGTGGTTCAAGTGCAGTGCTGAGCTCTTTGTCCCTCTCTAAAATAGTCCACATTAAGGGTGTGGACAGCCCAGATGTCAAATCCAAGGAAATAGCATTGGCAACATTTAGAAAAAATCAGGATAAAACACGATTTCATCTGTTTTCCTGCTTTCCAGTTTGGGTTGATTTATGCATGTATTACTAATTCTTTTAAAACTCAGGATTATCCTGGAATGTCTTGGAACCTAGGTAAAAAATGTAGTGAATGACAATTCATTGCTTGGAGTAATGTTTCAATTTGCAGATGGCAATTCCATATTTGCCTCCAGATTTAGAAGCAAGAGAGACATCTGAAGCGTTTGGGGGTGATTTTTAAAAATAAGAAATCCATTTGGAAGGGAGCAGGCAGAATAAAAGGCAGATAAGGCAAAATATAGATAAGGCCTACAAATACCAACTTGTACACATCCTAAAGCCCAGCCTACTGTGTGAGATCAGGGCATCGTAGGAGAGTGCAGGTTGCTCTTATCAGTAAATGTTATCAGGATAGAAATCTTTGAGTGATCCTGGGCTGAAAGCAAGTCTTGGCATGAATTAAGTAATCTGTGTAGGTTTAGTGATTAAGAGACATTTTGGTCTCTGGTGTCAATCTTCTTTGTAAAGGGACTCTACAATCCTGCTGCTGCCAGTTTCCATCTGTGCTGATGCTAAATGTAGTAGTCTCAGGGCTTGGCTGCTGCTGGTAAAAATGCTTTTAGCTGAAAGAAGAACCCTTGTATTAATGAGACAAAAAGGGGATTATTTTTAAATTCCTTGAACCCTTTGTAGATGAGAAAACACTGTTTGGTTGCAGGTGGCAGTGATTGTCTGCATCCATGCACTCTGAAGCATGGTTCTGCTCCTTACTCAAAAGCAAGGAAAGACAAAATGCTTCCTGCAGAAGGCAGAACCCAATGAGAAAACCTATTTATTATTTACCATCTGCCTTCTGTTGGAGGAGGTAAGTAGCCGGTGCTGGTTATAAAGCTTTTCCTGGAGACTGGTGTATTTTCTGAAGCAGTCTTGTAGTTCTGGAGAGTCACTGCTATCTTGGATCTTCTTTCCAACCCTATTTATGTTTTGTACCCTGGATGTTAATGCAAACACACAGCCTGGTTTAAAATAGAACTGACACAGAGCAAACTGATTATTTGATCATTTGATGCTTCAAGATTGGATTTCCTATGGTGGTTTTGGAGGGTTTTCTCCCATTTGACTTGTAATTGCACGCTTACGTCCACCTTCCAGAAAGTTGTGTACGTAAGCAATTATTACACCTGTCTTGGAAAGTCTGTACATTTATCACAGAGTGTTGTGCTGCCTTTCATCACATGGCTGCTATGAGTTTGGGTCATGTCATGAGCTTGAGTCTTCAGCTAGATTGCTTTAGTGACATACCTTGGGTTTAATCTAAAAAGATTTGGTGAGGCATTTGCATTCCCTTGGGATTTGTCAGGATGATGACAAAGTATTAGTGCATTTCTTTTAATGGTATCTACAGTTTGAATTAGATGGATAAATATAAATGCTCTCTGCAAATTGAGATGAAATCCTGTCTGAGAGTTATACAGACAAAAAGGTATTTAAATGGAAAGATCATGCAATGAGTGTTTTAGGTGATCCCTTTGATCACACTGACATTCAATATATTCAGTGTTTCTCATTTTCTTTGGGAACATGGGGTGCCATTTCCTACATCTTAGTATGAAGCACTGGAAGAGAAGAGGCTGCTTTGAGTGCCTGGTTCATGTTGGAGCATTTTTTGTCAAGGCAGAACTGATTAAAGAGCGTTAATGATTAATGTATGATTTGCACATTCAGTGTTCATTGTTGGAACTGAAATCTCTCTTATTTGACTTCAACCTGATGGAATGTTTTCAGGAATATTAGGCAAAATTACTTCAGTCCTTTTTTTCCAGTGAAAGAATTTAAAGAAAGAAAGGTTTTCCAGCTGCTGAAAAATGGAAACCACCTATCTTTGATCAGGTTTCTTTAGACTAACTGTTTTAGAAGAAAAGGGTGGGGGTGTAATAGGCAAAATTATCAAACCTCAAGTTAAAGAAAGCTAACTTTTAAAATAACAATTTTTCTCCCTAACTGACCTTTATAATATATATGATAATTTGTACCAAACAGATTAATCATTTAAAGCTTATTCAGTAAACACAACACATTACTTTTTAAACCTGAAAAAAGAATCATGGTCAGAGGACAGAGCCCTTGATTGCATTCAGAAAGCTGAATGGAATTTTCCATGCAGTCTCTAAGGCACTTTTAGATTTCATATAGACATCTTACAGCTTTGCTGAATGCTTTGATCTGATTCTCAAATAGCCCAAAATTACAATCCTGAGCTGGATGCAGCCACAGTGGTGCAAAAGTGGAAAGAAGCAGCCTTGATTCTGTTCAGAAAACAGAAAAAAAAAATCAATCATGGCTTGATCAGAACTCTTACAGTTCATATCATGTCTTTTGGCCCTAAGCTGGTCTCAAGTCTTGGTTTACATGACATTAAAATAAAAAAAGGAATCAATATTATCAGTATGACATCTTTATCTTAGTACATTGTTTGTATATTTTATGTCACCCACATAATGGGTAAAAGGAAAAATGTGACAGGTTAATTGTGTAAAATTTCCTAAAATTTTAATTCCATTTAGAAATTATATTTCAGTAGGCATTTGAAATATTTAATTTCTCTTGTTATGTTTCTTTTCCTCAATGCACATTTTTTTTCTTCCCCCCTTCTTAAACTTTTGATGAAGACTATGCCAAAAATAATTCTCCAGCAGTGATTTCATTCAGGAGCAATTCTGTTTCAACCTATAGAAATAATTTTATCTTCTTGCTGTTACGGCCAGTGACAGATGATATTTTCTTTTTCTCTACATTTAGACACCTTATATTACCCAGCTCACCGAGGTAAAGAAGACCCTTCATATATTGAAACTCCAAAAGCCTTGATGAGGTCAGAAAAGACACTATACTATTTACTGTCATTTTCCCCTCATTTATTGACATTACAACTGTAATCCCTTTTTTTTCTTTGCATAAGGTTATTTCTGAAATCCAAAAGGAGGGAAAAGTGACCTCTTTTTGTTGAGGCCAGGAGTGTTTTCTAATGAATTTTTGTATTGATAGTGTGGTGCTTGGATTGCTCCTGCATTAGAGCCAGCTGAGCTGTATGTATAATGTATCAGGAGGAATAAACAATGTGCATTTTAAATTATATCCTGCTATTGCTCAGGATGTGACTCTCTCAGCAGAAGGATTTGTGGAGTGGGAGCCGGAGAGAAATCATCAATATGGCAGTTCAAGGCATCTTTCTCTCGAATTTTTCTTGTGCATGCTCACACGGGTTATTTGTTTAAAATTCCTTTTACATCTGAATTTGTTGTGTGCTGACTTTTGAATTTTTCACTTTTCCAGCTGCTGTCCATAGTTGTTGTTTTGCTGTGGGAAGGATGGACCTTGAGGCGAGGGGGCTCCAGTCCTCACTGCCATCAGGGTGACAAGGGCATACAAACTATCTCACTATCCCACACACATCAGCCAGTTAGCTTTTGCTGCCAAATCCCAGGGAAACGTGTTTTCCCTACAAAACAGTGTGTGTAAGACACTTAAGTGTTTAATTTTTTGAAGATTTCCCTCAGGGCAGGCTGCCCTTTTACCCCCGTGGTGGGGCTGAGGGGTCACCAGGGCCATGCCCAGCGCTGGGTCCCCTCACGGCACCCACAGCCCTGCTGCTTGCCAGAACACTTTTGGCTGCTTGTACTGCAAACATTTTGGGAATTGAGCTTGATCCTTGGACCACCAGAGACCCTGGCATCTGGGCTGTATTTTTTCCCCACAGAGCTGTAGGGAAAGCAGGGAGGGAATGTTCCCGTGAGGGGGAATCAATGTCTGCTGGGCTGGGTCAGGTGAGTCGGGGATGTTCATACCCTTCCCTTGTCATGGTGTTTGAGAATATGTTGCTTTCTGCTGTCGTAAGACTTACAATTTCAATCTTTATTTTAACCCCCTGAGCCCACTTAGTCTTCTGAGGAGGTTTGTATAAAAATAACAATAAAACCCCAAAACAATATAGGTGTGACTTGTACACTCAGAAGAGCACTGGTAGATATGGAGGGATTTTCAACAAAATTGTCTTTAGCAAATCTAGAAGTACTGTATAGAAAATACCATGTGTTTCTGTGTGTCCTGAAGTTATTCTTTATTTTCACAGATCACAATGTTTGTGGAGTCCTTTGGCACAGCTGTGTGGGTTGTGCTGGTGAGCACTTGCAGTATTAACTTTTTTGGTAGGATTGTCCAGGGAAAAGCAGCACTTTGGTGAGGAATTTGGACCCTCAGCAGCCCCAGCAGAGTTGTCCATGGAGGTTTTGTGTCCCTTCCATGCATAATCCAGTTTGCTCCTGGGATTTGTGCATTCCTCAGGTATCTGTCTGGCTTTGCTCTCTGGGGGCTACAAAGCAGCAAGGCTTTGTTGGCATCAGTGTGAGATCCTGTGACTCTGCTTAAGCTTGTCCTCCTTTGTGGCTAATGTTAGTGCTGCTTCTAGCCAGATGTACAGCTTTCAACCTGAATAACCATTCATTTGTTTAAAAACAAAATCTTAAAATATCAGAGGTGTGTTTTGTCTTCCCCTCTGTGACTGGCAGAGAAAAAATAATCCCTGTGGCTCTAATCATGACAGATCTGAACGTATTGCCAATCCTGCTTTCAACTCTGATGCTCATTCTTTCTTTCATATTCTGGATAAGGCCCTATATTCTTCTACATGTTTGTGGCATAGAGATATTGATAAAACCTTGTTTTATTCCTTTGCAGTGCTCTTGACTCAAGATAGCCTTGACATTCACTTCTGGGACTTGAGTGATTTCTAAATTTCAATGGCTTTGTTAATTAACCAACAATTGCGGCTTCTTTACCATAATCAGGGAAATCTGCCTTTTTGCTGTTGGAAGATCTAAAATGAGAGTGACCCAATTGCTGTTTCCCTGAACTAATTTAGAAAGGGAACTAGAAATGTTGGGGATCAAACTTGGGTTTGTTGCAGTATTTTATGTATTCCATTAACAATTTAGTTGTCATAGCAATGCAGAGGCAAAATGATTCAAGGTAAGCCTTGAATTAGTGTTCATGTTTCAAATAAGACAAATATCATCTTTTAGAAGATAAGTATGGTTGATATTTAGCATGAGCCCAATTCTGGTATGCTTCAGGGATTCCTTTGAATTCCTGTTCCTGAAAATGAAAGAATCACACTGTGTGGCAGATGCAGAGGGAATTTCCTGTGTGCAAAGAAAAGAAAAACAACCCACCTTAATTAATCTTCCTGCTGAAAAGAAATCTGCAGGGAGTCAGAGAAGCTTCTCTGCAATTTCCAGCTGTAGAATTTGCATTTTGGGTGTTTATTCACAGAAATCATAGAGGTTTTGTGGCAGTTTTGTGTGGTGTCTCCCCTGCTCCCCACCCATTTAATTAGCATCATATTTATAATCCTCAGTGGTTCTAAACTGGTGTGATTCCATTCTGAATGAAGTGTCACTGTGCCTTCCCACCTGTGTGGATGGAACAGAACATGAGCAGTTGGAGGTTTAGGGTCACTCAGAAAAATAGTAAGTCAAGGATGGCTCGTTACACTTTCTAAATAGAGTTAGAATTTTCCTTTTTCCTATTTATTTCATTTTAAGGAGTGGGCATGGGAAAAGAAAGTATCATAAAATCAGTTGAGGGAGACAGACGTATGAGATACTGTCAGTAACATTTTTGCTTTCTTTTGTAAGAACTGTTGTAAGTTACTCACCTGCTCTGTGTAATAGTTATTGGCACAGGCTGGCATTTAACAACAAATTGGCAAATTAAACTGTTTTTGCACATCCAAGGATTCTGTTAAAACCAAAAATGATGGGAAGACTGGGCATGATTCAGCTGTAGACCTCTTGCTTCCTTCTCTCCATTTCTGTGTCTCCCCTTTGCCTCCAGCCTACAACTGCAGCTCCTTATTTTGTGTCTGCTCCACATGTGAATTATCAGAGCTTGTCTGAATGTGCCACTTAACCTCCTTTTCCTCAAATCACTTGGTAAATAAGTAACATATGGGCAACATTTTGGGTGCAGCTCACATTCACAGTTTAGATCCAAGTGTGATATTGAGTTTGGGTTTGAGCATAGCTGCCTGATTTTCTCCCAGCATTCCCATTCAGAAATCCCTGTCTGCATAGTGCACATGAGGACATCATAAACCATTTTTTCACCCTTGATAAAGTGCTGGGTGTTGTCCATCTTTATCCATAAGTAGCATTAGCTGCGTTTAGTTCCTGGGGAAGGGACCCAGTGGTGTCATGATATTGGTGACACTCACTGAATTCCTGCTGTTCCCTCCTTGTTCCTTTGGTCCCTTTCTGGTTTTATTTCCCTGCTACAAATAATTTTTCCAAAATATTTAAATAAAGCTAATGGAGATATTTCCAATTCATAGTTACTGTTAACTAATGGTAGCAAAAGAGGCATAATTAGCTGGTGTATGGCAGATGGGGATTATTTCAAATTTGCTAATCTGGTAGAGATACAAAATAGAATTCTGGTTGCCTAAGGTTAACAGTAAATCACTTATTAATCTTAAAGCAGCATTTGACCCAAATTTATTAAATAATTTCTTCAAGCCCATGCAAGTAAACAAGATTTTGGGATCAGCCTGTACTGGTGATTATTTGATTTCACGGGAAATAAAAGACCTAAGACTTATGAAATGTTTCTTGGTTTTCTCTTTTTAGTGAAACAATGAATGTTAACTCAAGAAATGTGAACTGTTTGTAATTTCCTGTGGAAAAGCTTCAGACATCTAACTTCAAGACAGAAGAAAATGCATCATGTGTTAATCAGGCAGAACAAGAAATAGGAAAATAGGAGCCTGGATGCAAACATTTTACAAATCTCGGTGATGTGGTAACTGAACTTTGCATACATTTGTCACTAATTAACTTGCTTCTGAATTACTGTAAATTGTGCTATTGTAGCCACTGTGACACCAGAGTTTCAAGGTGCTCCCAGGGAACACACAAGAGGAGGCTGGTAAATCAAGGAGAACCAAAGCCCCAGGCTTTCTCCAGCCTGACTGGAGAGCAGCGGTGACAGGGATGAGTCGGTGGGCAGTGCTGGCCCCTCTCCAGCTTTTCCCTCGGCCTCGGGCTGCTGGAGGCGTTGGCACTCAGCAGCTTTGCCGGCTTCAGGAGCTTTGGAAGGTGTTTTCATGAACTGCTAAGGTGGGCTTGGAAGGGAAATTCAATGCACTGTTTATCTGTGACCATGAACCTTTCTCTCTCCCCAGGAAAATGAAAATATCATGAGAAGGAGGAGCGTTCCCAAAGGTCTTTGTGGATCAATGTAATGTTGAGCTAAAGGAAATTGGAGGCTAGTTGATGTTCCCAGAGGTACAAAAGGTGTAAACCGATGTGTAAGAAAGAATTTGCTCTGCAAGGAACACTTTAAGCACTACCACACATTCACAGCTGCATTTGCAGTTAAATTGCAGATCAGGTGAAGTGTCTTTTGCTCTATGGTTTTCCAAAGGTCTGGCAGACAAAGCTGACATCAGGACAGGTTTATGTTTTTCCCCCTTAGTGTTTTGGATGCTGTTGCATTTTTATCACTGAGGGGCAATTTAAAGAAGTGTTTCTTGAAGTGCTGCACAGACATTTAGAGGCCAGCACCAGTGGCACAGGAGCATTAAGAGGGATGATAAAATGAGGGTTTTCAGCCTGTGCCCTTTATAATTGTGGTCAGGTAAGCAGAAGGTAATGCAGTTAAAATGTTGGTGTCATGCCTAAACTTCTGGCCGGCCTCATTACAAGTGCCTGATGTCAAAGATCAAACAAAGACAGCAGTAATCCTGCAGGTCAGCATGTACCTCACTGGGAGGAAGCTCTGTTCATCTTGAAACATGGCAGGGAACAGTGATGGGCACACTCACTGCATAAAGGGAAATAAAATTGGCTCAAAGTGACCCATGGCCTTCTGTTAAAAAAAAAAAAAAAAAAAAAAAAAAAAAAAAAAAAAAAATTTAAAAAAAAAAAAAAAAAAAAAAAAAAAAAGAATAGGAAAAATAAGTCTAAACCATCCAAAACACAAGTGATGATGATTAAGAAAGCACCTCTGGATGAAAATGTTACTGAAAAGTATGACATAGCAGAAAATGTCTACAGTTAAAATTAATTTAAATTGTAATAAAGTTCCAAGTGTCAAATTAGCATTTCTGGTTTATTTCCAGTTCCAGTTCTTGTATTTTACATTATAACTGCATGAAGGTGCTATTAAGAAAAGCAGAGCCCAGGTGTTGCTACTGATTGTACTGTGTATTGTTGTGCAGAAGGAAAATAATACCTGATTTATGATAGAAAGCACTGTGGAGATAAATGCAAGCACCAGAACTGGATTTAAATGATGTTGCTACAGGTGAGATGCATTTTTCCTTCCCCTAACCCCTCTATTCCCTAAACCCCCTGTAAGGCTTCTAATGCAATATTCTGCAGTCCCTGTATAACCCACCTTTCCTCAAGTCTGAGAGAGATTTATAGTTATGTGACTTCTGTCACTCAGAGCATCATAAAAAGTGTCTCCCAGCAAGAAAACAAAGATTGCTGCATCTCAAAGAAAAGCACAGTTGCAGGTAGGTACTCAGATGCTGTGGACTCCCAGAACTGCTTCTCTATTTTGGTCCATGTTGCCTCTTAGAATCACAGAATACTTTAAATTTTAAAGATTTCTAGAGGCCTCTAGTCCAAGTCTATGCCTCAATCAGTGCCAGCTTTCAACTCAGTCAGTTTGCTCAGGGCCTTGTCCAGCAGAATTTAAGGAGATCCCATAGCTTATCTGGGTCCCTGTCACAGTTTCACCTCCCTTGTCTCTCTTATCAGAATTTCCCGTACCTCAGCCTTGCCTTTAATTTGATGATAAATACTATCTTGCCTGTACAGGCAGGAGAAAAGATTATCTTTCCCCCTCTCTGGTGACTCACTGGTGTAGTTCAGCACAAGATCCTGTACACTAGTCTCTATTTATACATTAACTGATCTGTATGGTGCAAATGGGATAAATATAGGTAATTTCTGTCTCTTGAACAAGACCAGATATGATGGCAGTCAACCTGGAGTGTCTGCTTTCCATTTTGTTTGTCCTAGGCACAGCCTAACAGCCTCTTCTGAGTGTCTCACAATGCTTTTAATCATAATGCACTTTCAGATAGTTTAAAAAGTAGTCCTGCTGGGAGAATATAAAGCATCTCTAAAGGCAGCTTGCCATTGCTGTGTGCTTATCACAGGTAACCTCCTGTTTTG